GGCGGAGCTTGTTCCCCGCGGCGGTCCGCCCGCTGCTGGGACTCGATGTGGGGTGCAACTCGGGGGTAAGAGGGCGCCTCGGCGGGCAGCGGGAGGGGTAGGCCGCGGGGCAGCAGGCTTGGGGGGTTCCTGGGGTGAGGGGAAACGCTGGGGTGGTGGTCTGGGCTGTGGGGAAGACTGGAAAGACTTGGGGGGAGGCACTGGTCTGGAGTATTGGGGGGCTGTGAGAAATATTATGGGGAGGTACTGGTATGGGGTTTTGGGAGGCTGTGAGAAAGACTGGGGGGAGGCACTGCTCTGTACTACTGGGGGGCAGTGGGGCAGACTGGGGAGGCATCGGTCTGGGGTATTGGGAGGCAGTCCAACGTACAGAAAAGACTGGGGATGAGGCACTGGTCTAGCGTGGTGGGGCAGACTGAGAAGACTCTGGAGGGGATGAGAGCCTGGGAGGGGGGCAGTGCGGCAAACTGGGAAAACTGGGAAAGTATTCAGTATCAGTAGTGACTTGAGGTAGTGAGGCAAACGGAGGAGACTGGGGGAGGCAGGAGTTTGGAGTGTTGGGAGGCAGATTGGAAAGGTGGGGAGGCACTGGTGTGGAGTGTTGGGGCATTGGGGCAGAGTGGGGAGGCTGGGGCAGGCAGCAACCTGGGGTGTTGGAGGGGAGACTGGGAAAGTTGGGGGAGGCAGTCCCATGGGATGCTGGTGAAGAATGGGGCAGACTGAGAAGACTGGGTGGGGGCAGTGGCCTGGAGTCTTGGGGGACAGTGGGGAAGGCTGGGGAGAGCACTGACCTGGGGGCTGGGGAGGAGTGAAACAGCCTGGAATGGCTGGGGTGGGGATAGCAGCTGGGACAGGGATGAGCCTGTATAAAAGGCACAGTGGGAAAGCAGGACCTGGATGCAACATGAGACTGGTGGGGGTCAGGAGATCGTCGGTGTGTGGGAAGCCCCCTCTGCAGGTCTCCTGTGAGAGGAGGGTGAAGGCAGGGGTGGGGTGGAGCTGGTTGTGTTGCTGAGAGTTGGTTTAGGAGGCTGTGTTGGTGGGTCTGTCCTCTTTCCCACTGAGGCCTAAGTGTGCAGTGCCCTGGGTTACTGCGTGTCCTGAGTACCAGTAAGCTGCTATAGGACTGCCCTAAGAGCAGGGGAACTGGACAAGCCTGAAGCTAAAAACCATAGTCTGTTGTGTTTGGGTAGTATCACATCATTTATCCATGAGACAGAACTTTGAACTAAAATCCTGGTCACGTGCTCTTGAAGATCTTGTGACAGAGCTGGTGAATCTTGTAGAATTTCCCATTTTCAGAGTTCATTCTCTTTCTTTACCTAGTTCTGCTTTATTCTCATGGCTTCTTCTCAGTGTGCAGCTTTGCTGTGTTGTAATTCAGAAGTATGTGTGCATCTCTGATACATACTGGTGCAATGTTTAATTTAACTATGTTTAAAGATTATTTTTTTTCAGATGGAAACATTATCAATGTTTTAACTCAGAAATAATTTTTCATTCAGAATGAAATTACATTCTGGTGGAGGACAAGAGTACTACTGTTTCCATGGCTTCTCTTCTCCCAGCCCCCTGCCAGAAGGTTTGAAAGGCCGCCTAAGGCATTATCTAAAGGACAATTCTAGATCGTATTTCAGGTGAACTTGTAAAACAGGTCAGGTAAAAATGTTCTCAGTCCAGTTCTTTTGAGATGCAGAGACTTTCACCACTAGAGGACACTATCTGCCCGCTTGTGTGGGCTATGCGCTCGTAGCCGATGTCATTCAGGAACTTCATTGGATCTCCTTTAATGAAAGATTGATACACTTTCCACTTAGTGGCGCACTCTGTGAAAGGAAATTCGAAGGAAAACTCTCATGTTAACTATCTTATGCTACAATCTAATGGTCAGGGAATGTCTTTTACTTTAGCAGAAGAAGAAGAAATGTATTACTCTAAATTAGGCATTATAAATAGCTCTAAGTGTCACTAGGGAACTCTGAGGCTCACTTAGGGAAGCCAGTGAAGCCTTCACCCCCCCCATGTTGGATGGGGATATCCAGCAAGATTCCTGTTACTAAAACTCATCTTTCCCATAGTTTTTGGAGCAAAACCCCAAGTGTGGGGCGACACAAGTTTAGTTCCAGTCTCTGGTTGACTTTCCGGTAGTCAGGGCTACCATGATGCTTTTTGCTACAGAAAGGAAGATTGTCGGTGAGCTTATTGTTCGGAACTTCATTGAGAGAAAGCTCTGAGTTGGCGCTTGTACCTTGCTGCTGAGAGTGGGATCCTATGGGCTTGGTGATGTGTTAACAAAGCAGCGCAGGCCCCGTGAACTCCTGTTATTTTCCTTTCTGCAGGAGCTAAGTGTGGCTCTGTACAGGCATCTCCTTGGCCTTCAGGAGAGTGAAGGCAGCCTGGACCAGCCTGCAGCTGGAAAGGATCTGAACCTTCTGTGCTGTGACATTGATCCGGTGTTGATTGAGAGGGCTCAGCAGTGCAGCCCCTTTCCTGCCTCCATATCCTTTGCCAACCTGGACATCATGGACTCCAGTGCGAGGGAGCCATTCCTGAGCTCCTACCTGGGCCGTTTTGGCCGCTCCACCTTTGACATTGGTTTTTGCATGTCTGTGACCATGTGGATCCACCTGAATCATGGGGATAATGGCCTCATGGAGTTCCTGTCCTTCCTCTCCTCTCTGTGCAAGTACCTGCTGATTGAACCTCAGCCATGGAAGTGCTACAGGGCAGCCGCACGCCGCCTTCGGAAGCTGGGCAGAAATGACTTTGATCACTTCCGATCTCTTGCTATCAATGGGGATATGGCAGAGAGGATAACGCAGATCTTAACGAAGGACTGTGCCATGGAGCTGGTGTGTTGCTTTGGGAGCACCAGCTGGGACAGAAGTCTCTTGCTTTTTAAATCAAATGGCTCAAATTACGAGGGCAGGGAGTCTTCAGAACAGGAGCAGTGATTGAGAAATGGCCTCTCGCATTCACGAATGTATAGGCAAGGAGGTGCTTGCTGTTGACACAGTCAGATCTAGGAATTCCTAAATCCCTATTGGGACTAGACCTTGACCTCCCTAGGGAGTTCGAGGCAAGTAATGTCTGTGTGTTTTGTTTTTTTTTTCCCCCCTTTCCATCTGCAAAATGCGGTGGCAGTTTTAACCCACCTTTTGGGTTCTGAGATTGCTGTTCCTAGAAAGTGCTCTTGAAATCAGAGTTGCTACGTATGTGCTTTCTATGTGTACCAAGAATATTCCCTGGAAGAAGAGAAAACATGCCTTTTTTTGTCCCTGGAGCTTTTCAAGGAAAGGGGACATTTCTGTTGACCCGTGCGATGCACTGTTTGTTCTGCTTCTTGTCATGTTTTCTGTATAAAATGCTGTTGGAAAATATATAACCTGGTTTACCACCTATGAACAAGTGAGTTGGATCGTTGCAGAGGCTGTCTGGTCAACAGGTTGCCCAGAGAGGTGGTGGATGCCCCATCCCTGGAAACATTCCAGGTCAGGCTGGACGGGGCTCGGAGCAACCTGCTCTAGTTGAAGATGTCCCTGCTCATGGCAGGGGGGTTGGACTAGATGAGCTTTAAAAGGTCCCTTCCAACCCAAACCCTTCTGTGAGCCTATGATATTGGTCAGGATGTGATCGATGCACCTTTGCAGATGGGGCTTGCCTGGAGTGTGCTTTGGAGGCTGACAGTGGTGTGATCTTTCTGCAGAGTGAGGGATTTCTATGGTAGGGCGTGTATTCGTTTAAGTGTGTAACTGAGTGAGTGCTTTTTGTAATAATATCCTTGAAATAAAAATAACTTAATTTTATCGTAAATACTGTGTTGGTTTTTTTAATCTTTGTTTTTGTTCACATTTTTTTTCAACACCTAAGCAGTCCCAGGTAACTGAGTTTATAATTTCGTTGTATTTACAGACTCAAGTGAGATTTGGTAAGCTTGAAGCTATGTTTGGCTAAGGTTAAAGTATTACAACTTTCACTGTTATGGGTCGTCGTCCCCTTTCCCCCCCCCCCAGTAATACCTAGGAAGAAAGAAAACTTGAGCAAAATGTCTTATTTTAACCTCATTTTTCTTGTTTTAATATCCCTACTAGCTTTAGTTCATTCATAGTGGTTTTGTTAGCTTTGATAGTAAGTAGGAGTCACGCTTCTACAGTGCTGTCTAAACAGATTAAAAACCTCACTTGAGTAGACTATGACACACAGAAATAGATAACGGATGACTCTTACGAATTTCTAAGTTCCGCTGCTTCCTTACTGCGAAGTGAGAGGGAAGCCCAGGTATGTGCCGTAAGCGTTGTGTCATGAGCGCTCAGTACTGGAGAAAGAAGGGAGAGGAGGACGTCTCCTCCAGGAGGTGCTCTTGTCTAGCAGTTCTCGTGCCCAGGTGAGCCTGTGTGCAGGGGCAGAGAGAAACTTTGCTTGCATTTTACTTTTATGTCCTTACTGGGACTTCCTTGTTATTTACTCATGCAGTGATAGTGGAGGGGGGAAAAAAAAAAAGCAAGCTTTGATTTCCTCTGCAATGAGCTCAGATGAAAGAGTGAAGCGTGTGAGTGTTCTGGCTGGCCACAGCCTTCTGGATGAAAAGCTGCTGGGATCCATGGATAACTTGTGAAAAAAGTGTGTGTGTACGTACATGTGTTTAAAGGGACTGAGTAAGGTCACAGAAAGGCTTCGAGGCTCTTCACACAAATGCAACTTCCACAGTGTTCTGCTACGTAGAAAATATTTAGGGCTCCCGCCAGGAGTCCTGAGAGCTCCTCTGCCTTCTCAGCTGCAAACAAATGTGCCTTCCCTGGTGGTGGTGGTTGTTAATTTTCTTAAAGACAACTTTTAAGTCTGGGCTGATTTTACTATCCCTGTGGGAGCGAAGGGAGAACCAATTTGTCATGTATTTTCCTGAGGGTTCACCCAAGTGCCTGATCTCTCTTGCAGCTTACTAATATATAACATTTATCACTTTGGTAATTAAGCACCTCATCTGACATTCGTTGTAATCTATGGGTAAGCTCCACTGACTCGAGGGGTGTTGGCTCACCCGATGCTACCAGGCAGCTCAGCCTCCCCTTTCGTTCTGCTTAGTTGCTGTTTCCTGTGTTGCGCGGCTGGTGGCACTGGAGTATCGTGCAACCTGCAGCCTTGCCCCCTGGGATGTTTCTGTTGGGTTGTGTCAATATTAGTTGCTGTTTTCTTTGAACTTTGAAATATTTATAAAATAGTCCTGGACTTATCTGTTCAGTGCTCAAGTTTAAAGGGGTGAACAGGGTTTCTTGCCTTCCATTTTCCTCTGGGGATTCACACACTTGCCTGTGAAAAATTTTATGAAGAGTTGCTAAGAAGGTGGACAACCCAAAGAGTTACACACAGAAGACGTCCCCTGCACCCATCTAGAATGACCTTCCCCTTCAAAGAGACCCTGTTTTGTGTTCCTTATGCGCTGAGTGATAGATCAGTATCTGCCTGGGAGATCCTTTTGGGCTGCTGCTTGTTGAAAGATTGTGGGTTGGTTTTTTTCTTCTTTTTCCCAAGCCTTTATGTGCTGGCCGTGTACAGACCTGCAAACCAGCCCAGTGTGTATGTAACAGTATGATGACTTCTTATCTGTTTCTCAAGTCTGTACTATTAAATTGCTAATATCAGTATGTCCCACTGTCTCAGAAATGGCTGAGCTCCAAAACTAGCTCTGTTTGGCTTTGGCACAGCAGTGTGTTTTGTTTCTCATCCTTTGGATTTTGCCACAAATACAGCTCAAAATAATGTCAACACAAATCTCTCTGCAGTTCTTGGGATACTAAGGAGCTCAAAATGGAGCCAATCCTTTAGCAGACAGGAGGAAAAAAAAACCCCAAAACTCTTTCCTTTTCTTTTCAGCTTGCTGCTTCTGCTCTCCAGGAAGCTGTCGGGAGATGAGACAGGTGGGAACCCAGCTCCATGACACAGCGATAGAAGAGAGCCTATGGATCTCAACTGCAGTGCTTATGTAAGGCTATAGAGAATTTTTTTTCATACTCTTTCTGCATTTCGCAATGTGGCTAAAATGTGTTCCCAGGTCTCCTGAAGGCAGGACAGAAGGAAAGTAAAGATGAGGGTTAAAACCAACGTTCCTGCTCCCTATTGCTGAGAGTACTTTGCAAGTTGGTTGGTAGTTGTTCATCATACAGCTGGTGAAATGGAGATGCCCCTTGCTTGTGTGAGTCCTCAGGGTGGTTACCCTTGTAGAGCTCGGGGTACCTCGGTTAAGGGAAGGCGCAGAGGCCTCTGTGCTGAAAGTACTGCTTGCTCATGTCCTCCATGATCCAAGAATGGGGCCAACCTGGTGGTGGTTGCTGCTGCTAAAACGAGGGAGATGCAACTTCCTTGTGTATGTAGAGGGAGAGCTGTGCTCCCACTACTCACCTGGGAGCATATGGCATCAGGCTGTGCTGATGTGTAGGTCCTGTAGCTGTCCTGGCTCGCTCATGATGTGCCATGTTATTTGTGTGTGTGTGCGCCTGTGCATTGGAGGGTTAGTTAAGAGATCCTGCTTGCTCTTTCCTACCCTTAAAGCTCCAACCCTGTGGTTGCTTACAGGAGCCTTCTAAATTCAACACCTGCACAGAGCATGTATAGCTGAGCATTTTCAAACAGACCCAAAATATTGCGGGGCACTGTGATGGGACTGTCAGACTGCTGCCCTGTTCCATCCCAGCAGCAAGTGAGGAGTTCCCATGCAAATGCCTTGTAAAGTTCCCATGCTCTGTGGTTTGTGATTGTTGCTGGGCTCCATCAGACCTTGTCTCACTTTTTCCATCCACAAAATGAGCTTGATAACCACCCACCACTGTGGAGATTTGATGTGAAATATTGGCTGTATGTTTGCACAGCACTTTTGAGAATGAAAAATACTGATGAGCTGAGCTGTATCATCAGCTGTGAGCTATGCCATTGTTCATAATAATCACTGCAGCCACTTCAGATATTAATTAGGTACCATACCTTCAAAGTGTTCTGACTAATTAAGTCTCATGCCACTGCTGTGTAGCAAGTTGCAGCTAATTATCCCCCTTCCTTGGATGGAAAAAATCTAGGCAGAGGTGGTGAAGCATCTAGTCATGCATAAGCTAGCATCAAAGTTGGGGCTGAGAACTTGGAGGTTCCAGTTTCCGGATGATTCTGCAGTTGCTTCCAGCCTTTGTAGGAAGTAAGATTTTAGATGGAGTCGATGAGAGGTCCTTTTTTTATTATTTTTTATTTTTCTTAACTTTAACTCTTGCTTATGCTAAGAGACAGTTCACTGTTTACTAAATTCTTGTGCTGGATGAGTACAAAGGATGCACTCAGTGGGGAAAAGTTTAGTGTGTAAATGTGGTGTAACAGCAGCAATTTTATCAGTTTAACATTGACAGCTGCCAGAGCAAATAACTGTTGTAAGCACCTATCTCCCTGCTGTCTGCTTCCCTTCTTATGCATATATGTATTGACAGCTTTGCAGATGCTGTTCATCAGCATTTCTAAATGGTGACATGCTTTAAAAATGGTTTAATTCAACTTTCCCCAGAATGTGTGACCAGCCCAAGAATGGAGGAATCAAGTTTAGGAACTGAGAGTTGGCAGCAACATGTCTGCTCCCATAAGCAGCTTCATTTAGCTGGAAACCCAGCAACTTGTCACTACAAGCTTGTACAGCAGAAGCTGCAGACTTTCGGATTTCCTATGCTCAGCTGAGGGCAAGTTCATTCTTGTTCTTCCTGGCACTTTGCTGCCCATGAATTAAAGGAGAAAAGTGAGAGGTGTCAACCCATGGAAATACAGGTATCTGTTTCTGGCAGTGTGGAAACCTGAGAAAAGAACAGCCACAAACCAAACGCATGATTTCTTTTCTTTAGCAGGTGTGAGCCAGTTCTCTTGCAAAGTTTTGATTTGTTAGGTGAGCTGGTGGTGTGAGGAAACAGAGCCCTTTTGGCAGAGTTGGGGGGGGCTTGGTGGGAAAAGCAACCACAAATCCAAGGTGTGAGTCTGAGGTTCACTCTGGACATGTGTAAAGGCTGGTCCTGTTTGGTCTTGTTGCAAATGAGGAGCGCTTGGTAGGTCAGAGGGGATCAAAAGATTAGCTATTCGCTTCTTGTGCCCAGTTGGTTATGGAAATGGATGCGGTTTAGCCATGTACACTTAAGTTTGATGCCTAGGCGAGAATGGTCTCTTCGAGTCTCCAAGGCTTACGTGCAGTCTCTCTGGACCTATTGGAGAAGTTGATAGATAGATAAGTGGTGTGTAGGAAGTTTGTACGGCCGTTGGGCTCCTTCTTTAGTCTTCAGGGCTTTGTTGCAGGCACGTCAGTTTTCTCATTAGATTTACTTGTGTTAACATGGGTGGGAGGGTTGGTTTCCCACATGCCTTTGCACAAAAATCCCTTGGAGCATTATGGGCAGAAGCCTTGCCCCCAATTCTGTTATCAGCTCAAGCTTGGGTTTCTTGGATTTAATTATGTGGGAGTGTCCTTATTACCACAGAGCTGG